ATTATACCATCTAGTATTACACCATCAGTAATTATACATCAGTATTATTCCCATCTTAGTATATACCACTGCAATATATAAACATCTAGTATATACCATCTAGTAATTATACCTCTAGTTTTAAAATACCATGATAGATTATCCATCTAGTTTTTAAATTACCATCTAAAAAGTTTATCCACTGTGTTATCCCATCCTGGTATTATCCATATAATACGTCCCCATTAGTTCGACATTATATATAAAGATCCCAGATTATACCTTGTATAAAATCCTCTGGGGAAAATTATACCTTTCTAGGTATCAATCCCAAGCATAATTATAACCATCTGTAGTTATCCCAGTATTATAGAATCTAGATTCTACCAATCTAGATTATACCTTTTAGTATATACCATCTAGTATTATCCCACTCCGGATTATCCCATCTGGGTATTTTTATTAATGACCATGTTTATCGGCACACAGTAATTAAAACCTCTAGTATTATAATCTAGTAGTCGTCCTCTGTATTATACCATCAGGTTCGTCCCAAAGTATTAAACATCTATTTTATATCTGTATTATTTCATCTTGTATTTCCTTAGTATTATACCATCTATTATTCCATAGTATTACCATCTAGTAATTATACCATCTAGTATTATCCCATCTAGTATTATACCATCTAGTATTATCCCATCTAGTATTATCCCATCTAGTATTATACCATCTAGTATTATACCATCTAGTATTATACCATCTATTATTTCCCCTCTAGTATAATACCATCTAGAAATTATCCCACCTAGTATTATCCCATCTAGAAATTATCCATCTTATTACACCCATCTAGTATTATCCCATCTAGTATTATCCCCATCTAGTATTATACCATCTAGTATTATCCCATCTAGTATTATACCATCTAGTATTATCCCATCTAGTATTATACCATCTAGTATTATCCCATCTAGTATTACACCATCTAGTATTATCCCATCTAGTATTATACCATCTAGTATTATACCATCTAGTATTATCCCATCTAGTATTATACCATCTAGTATTATACCATCTAGTATTACACCATCTAGTATTATACCATCTAGTATTATACCATCTAGTATTATACCATCTAGTATTATACCATCTAGTATTATCCCATCTAGTATTATCCCATCTAGTATTATACCATCTAGTATTATACCATCTAGTATTATACCTTTTATTCTAGTATTATACCATCTAGTATTATCCCATCTAATATTATCCATCTAGTATTATACCATCTAGTATTATACCATCTATATGTCCCATCTAGTATTATACCATCTAGTATTATACCATCTAGTATTATAACATCTATTTATACCATCTAGTATTACACCATCTAGTATTATCCATCTAGTATTATACCATCTATTATTTCCCATCTAGTATTATCCCACTCTAGTATTAACCCATCTAGTATTATACCATCTAGTATCGTACCATCAGTATTATACCATCTAGTATTATAACCCATCTATTATATCCATCTAGTATTAATACCATCTAGTATTAACCACCTAGTATTATCCCATCTAGTATTATACCATCTATTATCGTCCCATCTAGTATTATCCCATCTAGTATTATACCATCTAGTATTATCCCATCTAGTATTATACCATCTAGTATTATCCCATCTAGTATTATACCATCTATTATCGTCCCATCTAGTTTTATACCATCTATTATCGTCCCATCTAGTATTATACCATCTAGTATTATCCCACCTAGTATTATCCCATCTAGTATTATACCATCTATTATCGTCCCATCTAGTATTATCCCATCTAGTATTATCCCATCTAGTATTATACCATCTATTATCGTCCCATCTAGTATTATACCATCTAGTATTATCCCATCTAGTATTATACCATCTAGTATTATACCATCTATTATCGTCCCATCTAGTATTATCCCATCTAGTATTATCCCACCTAGTATTATCCCATCTAGTATTATACCATCTAGTATTATACCATCTAGTATTATACCATCTATTATCGTCCCATCTAGTATTATACCATCTAGTATTATCCCATCTAGTATTATAACATCTATTATCGTCCCATCTAGTATTATACCATCTAGTATTATACCATCTAGTATTATACCATCTATTATCGTCCCATCTAGTATTATCCCACCTAGTATTATCCCATCTAGTATTATACCATCTATTATCGTCCCATCTAGTATTATACCATCTAGTATTATAACATCTATTATCGTCCCATCTAGTATTATACCATCTAGTATTATCCCACCTAGTATTATCCCATCTAGTATTATACCATCTATTATCGTCCCATCTAGTATTATCCCATCTAGTATTATACCATCTAGTATTATCCCATCTAGTATTATACCATCTAGTATTATCCCATCTAGTATTATACCATCTATTATCGTCCCATCTAGTTTTATACCATCTATTATCGTCCCATCTAGTATTATACCATCTAGTATTATCCCACCTAGTATTATCCCATCTAGTATTATACCATCTATTATCGTCCCATCTAGTATTATCCCATCTAGTATTATCCCATCTAGTATTATACCATCTATTATCATCCCATCTAGTATTATCCCATCTAGTATTATCCCATCTAGTATTATAACCATCTATTATCGTCCCATCTAGTATTATACTATCTAGTTTTATACTGTCAGTATTATCTCAGAGCTCAGGATTCGTGCCTAAACACAGTTATTGATATCAAGCTTCACAGTTACTGATGTCAAAGAAACCCAGACACAGTAAGTTCTTCACATGAACGTAAGACTCACAGTCCTTCATACAGGTGTAAGACACTGTCTTTCATACAGACATGACACGTAGACACTGACCTGCAAACACATGTGGGAAGCAGACAAAATTTCACACTAGTTAACACTAGGACAAACCAGGTCCTTCACACAGACACAGACTTTTATGTACAAGTCTGAGTCTCACAAAGAAGACTGTGTCTCACAGAAAAGCGTGTGTCACACACTCAAAACCGTGTCTCACGCAACGGTGTGTCTCACAGACGAGGATATGCCGTACACATATGGGTGTGTCTTATACATAAGGCTGTGTCATACACAATGGTGTGTCACACACTAGGGTGTCACACACACAAAGGTGACTTTCACACAGCTAAGTCATCTATGATTCCTTTATCTTCGCTGAACTGAGAGCAGGTCTTGGAGTCAGTGACTCAGACCTGTGCAACAGTGACCAGGGGTGAAAAACTGTGACCAAGCAAGCAGTGTTTCTTGCGACCTAACAACTGCATGACCTTAGATAATATTGACACCAACAGTGACAACAACAACAACAACATGATCCGGTTGTCAGATCAGTCCACGGGGGACGGGGGGGACGGAGGTTCAACTACTGTTACACCGGGTCAGTTCTAGGTTCAGCATCTGCATGTCAGCAGTAATCTCAGTGCAGTAAACAGCTCTGACTTGGGCATCACAGTAATGACCTGAACGGAGGAGGTGTGCTAGGTAAATCGACGGGTTCAATCGCATGGCGCAGACTGAAACATGAACCCCGCAAGGTTCAGTAACAATGTAAGGCAACTAAGAGTAGTTTGAACCTTGAGGCCTAGGCCTATGCAAAGTGTAATTGAAAATGTCCTGACAAATGAATCCACAAACTGAAAATACAGTTTCTTAATAAGACGCCAGTGATTGAACTTCGTTCATTTGTTAGTGGTAACTTGTGAATTGTCCTAGCTCCTGTGTTGCGAACTTTGTAATTCACGTTGACCTTTAATTGTCCTAGCTACTGTGTTGCGAACTTTGTAATTCACGTTGACCTTTAATTGTCCTAGCTCCTGTGTTGCGAACTTTGTAATTCACGTTGACCTTTAATTGTCCTAGCTACTGTGTTGCGAACTTTGTAATTCACGTTGACCTTTAATTGTCCTAGCTCCTGTGTTCAGAACTTTGTAATTCACGTTGACCTTTAATTGTCCTAGCTCCTGTGTTGCGAACTTTGTAATTCACGTTGACCTTTAATTGTCCTAGCTCCTGTGTTCAGAATTTGATCTTCACATTGATCTTCAATAGGACTGACAGAAGAGCAGTTCCGTGAGCCTGGCAGCGTGTGCAGGTGGTGTACTCTGTCAGGACAAAGTCCTGATGAAAGAAGCATTTTCAAAGCATAGTGAAGTCTTATTTACATAATTTCAGTGTATTCCAACAATGTAGTACCATGACAGGAGACGGCGTCATGAAAAGGGTCAAATGACAAGGCGTTTACTGCACGTCAAACCAAGGACACGTTAGCTTGTATAACAGTAGTTTATAATACCGACAACATAATGAATTAGACCCATGTTCAGCATCTGGGTATCTTCATTTTGTAGATGTTTCGTCATCCTCTGGCTTTATCAATACAATACAGCAGACTGAAAAGGTAGAAGCTGAGGTAATCAGTCCCTCAGTCATCTATATAGTAGTGATAAAGCCTCTGGTTGGCGAAATGTCTACACAACAAACATACCCAGATGTTGCACGTGTTTCTAAGTCATGATACGTTAGGAATCAAAGACGGTATCTCAAGATATCACAGAAAGATTTTTCACAAAACTGACTTTACGAAATAATTAATAAGATCGACAAGTAAGAAAAACATGAATGCGGTTATAAGAGTTTTTATTAAGGATATGTTTCATTCGCCAGAGAACTTTATCAATGCAACTGGATTGACAGTGACCTAATATCAGTCTAATTTGACTGATTGAGATCTGCTGATCCAGTTAGATTGAAGAGACGCTACTGTAAATCTAATTGAATTGATAAAACCCCTAAGGGGCGAAACGTGTCTTCAATAAGGATTCTAATACCACATACTGCATGTTTTTTCTTACATACGGGTTTTCGCAACATCCAAAAAAGAAAGGTTCACTAGAGTGTGGAAGAAGTACTTCGATGTGGTTGAGGTCTTCAGGAGACTTCGAACTCACCTTGATGGTTCCTGCGGCAGCGAGGGCGGTGAAGGAAAGCAAGAGGAGGAGGCTGAGGACCTGGCTGGACATGGCGGCGTGGCTCTGAGAGTGGCTCTCTCGGGTCATGGCGGCTGAGTGGCGGCTGTGGCGGTGGTGGTGGTGGTGGCGGTGGCTGGCTGGGGGTTCAGAGACTGTATGGGCCGGGTAAGCTACGCTGGCGCTTATATATGCTCGGCTAGCCCCGCCTATCGGCCCTCTCGCCCCTCCCACCTGCCACCAGCCCCTCCCGCTCCGCCCACTCACCACCCGCCCCACTCCTTTGCCTCCCCCTGCCTACCTCCTTCAATGCCCACCTACATCTCACCCCGCCCACCTACTTCCTTCCCCGCCCACCTACCTCCTGCCCCGCCCACCTCGATCACCTACCTCCTGTCCAGTCTCCCATGCTGAGGCACCAGCAACAGGTGGACTTCAGCGTCCCTTCCTCCTGACCCCTGTCAAGGACGTGAAGATCCCCTGACACCTGTCAAGGACGTGAAGGACCCCTGATACCTGTCAAGGATGTGAAGACCCCCTGACACCTGTCAAGGACGTGAAGACCCCTGACACCTGTCAAGGACGTGAGAACCCCCTGACACCTGTCAGGGAAGTGAAGACCCGCTGACCCCTGTCAAGGACGTGAGGACCCCCTGACCCCTGTCAAGGACGTGAGGACCCCTTGACCCCTGTCAAGGATGTGAGGGCCCCCCTGACCCCTGTCAAGTACGTGAGGACCCCATGACCCCTGTCAAGGACGTGAAGGCCCGCTGACCCCTGTCAAGGACGTGAGGATCCCCTGACCCCTGTCAAGTCCCTGACACATGACAAGGGCGTGAGGACTATTTGTCCTGTACGTGAGAACACTGTCCTGTACGTGAGGACCCTCTGTCCTGTACGTGAGGACCCCATGCCTCCCATGCCCACACCATCGCTTATGCCCACAACAGCGCCCACGCCTACACCAACTCCCACAAAAACGGCCATACCAACACTCACGCTAACGCCCACGGCCACATCAGCACACACACCAACGCCCACAGCCACATCATCGCCCATGCCCACATCGTCACCCACACCCACATCATCGCCCATGCCCATATCAGCGCCCACACCCACACCCAGAACATCGCCCACACCCACACCCACATAAATGCCCACGATCACACTAACGCCCATGCCCACATCAGTGCCCATACCAGTGCCCACACTCACAGGCACACCAGCACTCACACCAGCGCCCACACCCACACCAACGCCAACACCAACACCAACACTAACGCCCACGGCCACACAAGCATACACACCAACGGCCACAACCACATCATCGTCCACACCCACATCATCACCTACACCCACATCATCACCCACGCCCAAACCAGCGGCAACACCCACACCAGCGTCCACGCTCACAACTGCGCCCACGCTCACAACAGCTCCCACGCCTACACCAACGCCCACGCTCACACCAGCGCCCACGCCCACACCAGCGCCCACGCTCACGCCCGGCCTGGCTGTAACGCAACGCCAAATAAATTGAACAAAAATCGCCATTAACCCGGAAAATGAGAACTGTCAGAAGGTGACTCCGGTGACAGTCCCCACTGGCAACAGTCCCCACTGGTGGAAGGTGGTAACTCCGGTGACAGTCCCACTGGTTGGAGGTGGTGACTCTGGTGACAGACCCCACTGGTGGAAGGTAGTGACTTTGGTGACAGTCCCCATTGATGTGAGGTGGTGACTCTGGTAACAGTCCCCACTGGTGGGAGGTGGTGATTCTGGTGACAGTCCCCGATGGTGACAGTCCCACTGGTGACAGTCCCCACTGGTGGGAGGTGGATTGACTGGTGACAGTCCCCACTGGTGGGGGATGGTGACTGGTGACAATCACCGCTGTTGGAAGGTGGTGACTCTGGTGACAGTACCTACTGGTGACAGTCTCCACTGATGACAGCCCCTATTGGTGACAATCCCCACTGGTGACAGTCCCTACTGGTGGAAGGTGGTGACTCCAGTGACAGTCCCCACTGGTGGGGACTGTGATAGCTGCGGTGACAGTCCTCAATAGTGACAGTCTCCACTGTTGACAGTCCTCACTAGTTGGAGGTGGTGACTCTGGTGACAGTCCTCACTGGTGGAAGGTGGTGACTCTGGTGACAGTCACTACTGGTGACAGTCTCCTCTGATGACAGTTCCTATTGGTGACAGTCCCCACTGGTGACCGTCCCCAGTAGTGACAGCCCTCACTGGTGAGAGTCCCCACTGGTAGGAGGTAGTGACTCTGGTGACAGTCCCCACTGATGTGAGGTGGTGACTCTGGTGACAGTCCCCACTGATGGGAGGTAGTGACTCTGGTGACAGTCCCCACTGATGTTAGGTGGTGACTCTGGTGACAGTCCTCACTGGTGGGAGATGGTGACTCTGGTGACAGTCCCCACTGGTGAGAGGTGGTGACTCTGGTGACAGTCTCCACTGGTGGGAGGCAGTGACTCTGGTGACAGTCCCCACTGGTGGGAGGTGGTGACTCGTGACAGTCACCACTCGAGAGAGGTGATGACTCTGGTGACAGTCCCCATTGGAGGGAGGTGGTAATTCTGGTGATAGTCCCCATTGGTGGGAAGTGGTAACTGAGGTGATAGTGCACTCTAGTGACAGTCCCCACTTTTGACAGTTCTCACTAGTTGGAGGTGGTGACTCTGGTGACAGTCCCCACTGGTGGAAGGTGGTGACTCTGGTGACATTCCCCACTGGTGTCAGTCTCCATTGATGACAGTACCTATTACCTGGAGTTTACCTGGAGAGAGTTCCGGGGGTCAACGCCCCCGCGGCCCGGTCTGTGACCAGGCCTCCTGGTGGATCAGAGCCTGATCAACCAGGCTGTTGCTGCTGGCTGCACGCAAACCAACGTACGAGCCACAGCCCGGCTGATCCGGAACTGACTTTAGGTGCTTTAGGTGACTTTAGGTGACAGTCCCCACTGGTGACCGTCCCTAGTAGTGACAGCCCCCACTGGTGATAGTCCCCACTGGTGGGAGGTGGTGACTCTGGTGACAGTCCCCACTGGTGGGAGGTAGTGACTCTGGTGACAGTCCTCACTGATGTGAGGTGGTGACTTTGGTGAGAGTCCCCGCTGGTGACAGTTCCACTGGTGACAGTCTCCACTGGTGAGAGGTGGGGTGACTGGTGACAGTCCCCACTGGTGGGGGATGGTGACTGGTGACAGTCCTCACTGGTGGGAGGTGAGGTGACTGGTGACAGTCCCCACTGGTGGAAGGTGAGGTGACTGGTGACAGTCCCCACCTGTGGGAGGTGAGGTGACTGGTGACAGTCCCCACTGGTGGGAGGTAGTGACTGGTGACAGTCACCATTGGTGGGAGGTGGTGACTTTGGTGACAGTTCCCACTGGTGGGAGGTGGTGACTCTGGTGACAGTCTCTGCTGGTGGAGGGGCGTTGACTCTGGTGACAATCCTCACTGATGTGAGGTGGTGACTCTGGTGACAGTCCTCACTGGTGGGAGGTAGTAACTCTGGTGACAGTCCCCACTGGTGGGAGGTGGTGACTCTGGTGACAGTGCACTCTAGTGACAGTCCCCACTGTTGACAGTCCTCACTAGATGGAGGTGGTGACTCTGGTGACAGTCCCCACAGGAGGAAGGTGGTGACTCTGGGGACATTCCCCACTGGTGACAGTCTCTACTGATGACTACCTATTGGTGACATTCCCCACTGGTGATCGTCCCCAGTAGTGACAGCCCCCACTGGTGACAGTCCCCACTGGTAGGAGGTAGTGACTGTTGTGACAGTCCCCACTGATGTGAGGTGGTGACTCTGGTGACAGTCCCCGCTGGTGACAGTCCCACTGGTGATAGTCCCCACCGGTGGGAGGTGAGGTGACTGGTGACAGTCCCCGCTGGTGACAGTCCCACTGGTGATAGTCCCCACCGGTGGGAGGTGAGGTGACTGGTGACAGTCCCCGCTGGTGACAGTCCCCGCTGGTGACAGTCCCCGCTGGTGACAGTCCCTTAGGGAGTATTGAAAAAAAATAAAATTTTTAGAGATGCAAGCTGCACTTATCAGACATTATTTATATAGTCACAATAAACTTCTGGGCAAAATTTCAAACCATATCGTGCCCATTTACCCAGCAGCGTCGCCATCAACTTTTCGTCAAATTATACACCATTGAAAGCAATTAGTTATAATTTATTGGTTGTTAAGTGTACATGGTTTATATAACTTCTGATTGTGAAGATTGTATAATAGAATATACGTGGGTTATATCAATCATCAACTATTTAATTTTAAACTATTACAAGTTATAAGTGAAGTATTTTTTGGTGCGGAACTTGGACATCACTTTCCTGGAAAAATATTCTTTGTCTGATATATCCATCTCTTGCCTTCAGTCTAGTCACTTCAGTGCGAGTTTCTGTCATCAATTTTATCCCTCAACAGCTGAAGTGTTGTCTGGCCACTCGGGCACCTCCAGTGGACTCAATAATTTTCAGAACCTGTTGATCTGATAGAGAAGCAATGAAAGGAGGTTCAGTTTTGAGTTCAGTCTTCCAGTCAATCATGGAATGATAGTTCTTTGCTTGCTACTTTAGTTTGGGAATTACTACTTTTCTTGAGTTGACAATAGGCGCCACATTGTCATTCTCTTTATCTTCACTGTCATCCTCATCATCAGTGTAGATTAACACGTCCTCGTCAACAGTATCAACAGAATCTTCTCCATCCTCATCAGAGCTTTCAGTGCTTTCTTCTGTCTGCTGATTCTCTTTAATTTCTCTTATCATTGAGACAGATTTTTCTCTCACAGCGCACATACCAAGAAGCAGCTGATCTGTGCGAACGAAGTAGGAATTTCTCTTCTTTGGACAATCTTCTTCACTATCTTCTTTTCTTCACTGTTCATTGTCTCATAAATTGCAGTGACAGGAAGATGTTCTTTGGGTCGTGTGTGACATAAGGTGCAGCTTGATGTGGAGCCACATTGGAGCACTGAACTTTAAAATCATAATGACCACTCATACAGCTCCTGACTGGGTCTTGATGTTGCCACATACAGCCTAAGGATCCTACTCCATATAGTATTCCACCTTGACACACACGGTGGACCTGGTTCAAGAGCAGCCAAGTCATCATCAACC